TTATACCTTCGGGTTAGCCTACCCAATTCATAAGTTTACCCCTTCAGATTGACCTTACCCGATTCACGAGTTTATACCTTCGAATCAGCCCCGCCGATTCATGACTCTACACCTTCGAATCGGCCTTGCCTGATTCATAAGTTTACACATTCGAATCGGCCCTACCCGATTCACGATTCTACACCTTCGATTGGCCTTGCCCAATTCATGAGTTTACACCTTCAATCGGCCTGGCCCGATTCATAAATTTACACCTTCGATCGGCCCAGCCTGATTCTTAAGTTTACACCTTCGATTGGCCCAGCCCAATTCATAAGTTGACACATTCGATTAAATCTACTCTCTAAGCTAAATACTCTTTAACTTAGAAAGTGGTGGGCTAACTGTTAGCGCCAAAAATCATCTTGGGCTTGACGAGGCCTAATAACTAAATAAACATATTATGGCCCAAGGCCTCAACCCAATCTTGATCGGGCCTACAATTAAAATCACCTTGTGAACTACCCACTCTACTAGTTTGGCTATTTAAACTGGATTTCAGCCCATTAGCCTACAACAGTCTATAAATAGGAAATCAGAATCACATTCTATTTCCTTTTCTACTATGATTCCAAATCTTACTCAAACTATTAAACTTGATCTGATAAGGTCAAGATATCATATCTCTTTCAGGATAGAGATTATCCCCCATTACTAAGATTCCAAATCTTATATAAACTATTAAACTTAATCTGATAAGGTCAAGAAATCATGATAGGGATTATCTCCCAAAATAGAACTCAATGTCTTACTAGGATTCCAACCCCTTGGGTTCACTATAAAAATAGAGGCTTACCCTCTCATTAGGCATGCAATCTCCGATAGTCAATCTACTCTACTCAACACCATCTATTTGCTCTTGAAGTTCTTGCTCCCAAGAACTCGACACTTTCACTGTAGTCCTAGCCTTCGACAAGACTCCGGGTAATTCTTCTTCTCCTTAATTCTTATTAAATAATCTCTTTCAGACTTGCTGACTTAAGCGTCGGAGTGCCTATGACAGACACCACCCTGGTGTTTTCCGGAAGCTTCACGCTTGCCCTTTCATGTGTGCAGGTCTAACGGATTGTTAGTGGCCTCAATTTTACGGGATCAGACCCAATTTTCATGACGGTAGATTTTTTGCATCTACACATCACACACTCGTGGTCACCCAAGAATAAATACTTTGGATAAGTGGAAAACTTTTCCCCTTATTCCAATAATCCATAATAGTTGAATGATAAGATAATTTCAAAGCTTTTCTAGAAATTGAGTAATAAAATACAAATGAACTTTGTAAAACTTAAGTCAATTAAAAGTATCCACCGATCATATATAGGGCGCGATTGTTCATATAGTGTTGGACAAAACAAACTTGACTGTACAATTTTTCACAACCGGACAAAGCAGTGTACTAAATATTTGTGCGTTCTATTAGAAAGGAAGACCATTGATCATTACAAACAAATCATATTAATGAATTGCTAATAAAACATACATAAATTTGCATATTACATTATATAAATATCCAATTATCTAGTTAAATCAATGGGTTTTAATTAAATAACCAAAATTTTGAGGGCCTATAATAATTAACCAAAATTTCAAACCCTATATCCATATAACCAACAAATGCCATTTTCCCGAAATTACCCTCATATGTAAGCAAATTTTTCTCCACGGGTTTCCCATTTAAAAAAAAAAGAGTTGGAGCCGATTTTGATTTTTGGATTTTCACTTCCTTACTACATTAACACGGTATACATCGATTAAAGGTAGTATTTTGATTCTTATTTGATTAATTTCTAGGCAATTTTGGTGGTGAGAAAAAGTTAACGGAATATTTGGATTTTTTAGTTTATGTAAGATTTTTGGGTTTGAGTTAAGGTTTTTGGATTTTAAATTTCTATAGTTTTCGGGTTAATGTGATTATTGTTGTGAAAGTTGTTTTTACGAACAGTAATGTTAGGTCCACAACCAAATTTCACAACCCTCGATGTGACAGCTCGTAAATGGATCCCACATATTTATTACGGGTCCTGCCTGCCTATTTGCGAGCTAACCAATTACGAACTGCTACGTCAGAGTTATGAGAAAAGATTGTGAGATTGAGTTATAGACTTAGCATTACTCTTTTATGAATATTATGAGTGCTGGTGGTGTGGGTGATGTTGTGTTTGATGTGAATAGAAGTGTATTGGTTTTGTTTGTGCTGAATTTGAAGAATTGTAGGTGGTTCGACACTTGATGCTATTTTTCCAATTGGCATGGGAAAATACACAAATTGGGAAATTTCTTGTAAAGATTCCTAGATGGCATAATTTTTATGCCAATTGGTTTAAAAATACGCCAACTGGTTTAAAATACATATTTTGTCTTTCTTTATTGGCATAATTTTCTATGCTATTATGTAAAATATTTTGTCCATGGGAGTATTTTTTAGCCTGGTGGTATATTAAATTATGTAAACCAAGAAATATTGAAGACAGTTACTGTAACATAAAAAATGAAAAATAGCAGAAATATAACAATTTTAAGTTAAAGATCAATCTTGTTGCTTGGATGTAGTGATTCTACTTGCTTGATATTTTATTTTTGGTGTGAGAGATTGCAAATGAAAGTTTGAAAATGACAAGCTTTTACTCAAGTGTTGGAAGGTTAAGGATGATGGTATAATAGTATTTCGTTAAAGAAGTTAGTTACATTGGCACGGGGTTGCAATTTTGGTTAATGACTATGGACCCAAATTTTTTTGGTTTTTTTTTTTAAAAACACCAAATCAATTTAGTAGAGAATTTTGAACTTATCCGCTTATATAATTAGATTTAAATTACATTTGGTCTGACATTTACTAAACACAAAATAGTATTTACAATTTAAGTGAATCTAACTCTCTAGAACTAAATTATCTACCACGTGTCAAATGCAAGTTTAAAGTAAACTCTGACATATTGTTCCGAAAACCATTAAATGCCTGACCGACCCTACAGCCGATATGCACTTTAATTAAGTTACAAATTAATCCCCAGTTGTAGGAGTAATAGACGTAAAGATGCTATTTGATTGGATTGAATCTTTTTCATGTGCAATTTTTCAACATCACTAGATAGAGACGAATAAAGTTATATATGGCATATAATAAAGGGGATTATGCTTTTTTACCCAAAAAAAATGAAAAAAGAAAAAAGAAAAAGATTAAAATTAGGCCCAAGGTAACAAAATTCCAGGTGCGTGAGAATCTGAGTAATTTCTTTGTTGGTTATCACATTAGGCTTTGGGAAATTCAACAAATATTAAAGGCATAAAGCAGATTATGTAACCAGCCTGAGATTTTGCAAGTTTTATGGCCGAACGACCTATACATACCCAAGATTTATCAAAATAATAAGGTGATACTTAAAAGATTTTAAAACAACAAATAGATACCTTTTGTCCTGTTCTGTTAGTGATTTTCGTTTGATAATAGTGAAAAGACTAAAATACCTTTGAAAGTTTGATATTTTAGTTTTTTATAAATTTAAAAATTTCTAAAAAACCTCTTAAGTTTACTAATTTTACTAACTACCCCAATATATAATTTTTTTGTAAAATAATAAAACACTCCCCCACCTGCAGTGCCAGATTTCGGCCATCAGCGTTGGAATCTGGCCGAAAAATTGCGTTACGACACAGACCCATCAGATCTGTATCGTAACACATCGATATGGCCTTTTCCGGCCACATCTACGTCCAAATCTGGCTGTCGAGGCCGCAAAACTCCATGTGGCCTTTTCCGGCCTCGCCGACCAGATCCGCCAAGGATCTGGCCGAAAAATGCCAGATCGACGCGTTACGACACATATCCGACGGGGTCTGTGTTGTAAAACAATTTTCTGGCCAGATCCCAGCGGTGGTGACTAGAATTTGGCACTGTGGGTGTGGGGGTATTTTTTTTATTTTACAAAATTTTTATATATTGGGGTATTTAGTTAAATTAGCAAACCTGGGCGGTTTTTTAGAAATTTTAAATTTATAAAAAACTAAAATATCAAACTTTCAAGGGCATTCTAGTCTTTTCACTATTATCAAACGAAAATCATTAACAGAACATGACAGAAGGTACCTATTTATCATTTCAAAACCTTTTGGTAGACTTGGCAAAAAGGGTCTGGACCCGCGGGTTGGACCGTACCCAGGTAAATAATATAGGGTACGAGTCCAATTTATTAAACCTGTTTTTTTAGACTCGTACCCGTACCCGACCCAAAAACAAAAGGTTTATACGGGTGAACCCGCGGGCACCCGTATTTACAGAAATGAACTTTTTCATTTTTTTTGAATCCCTAATTTTTTCACGCCTTCGCCATTCACGCAGCAGTCACGCACAGACGCACTCACACCTCTCACTCTCTCAGTCTCATCTCATCTCAGTCGTCTCTGATCTCTCACATTTCTAATCTCTCACTCTCATCTCATCTCTAATTTCTCACTCTCAGATTCTCAGCAACCTTATCGCGGTCGCATCTCAATCTCTCGTCATTCTTCTTTGTCTGAAGTTCAACTGAATCAACTCCCTATCTCGGTGTCTCCATCTTCGATTAATAGTCAGTTCGTCACTCGTCGGCTGGTAATGAATCCCTAACCCCTAATTTTGTGTGTTTGTTTTTGTTTTTTTGACAGATTTTGTGTTTTCTTTTTGGTTTGAATGGTTAATATTTTGTATTTTAATTTTTGTTTGTGAGATTAACATTGTTTACACTTATATTGTTGTCTGGTTGAGCTTTCCCTGTACGTAGATATGTAGAGTTGTTTGGGTTGAGTGTGTTTGTGTTTGGGTGAAATCATGGCCAATAACGTGGGTTTATCTCCCCTTACAATGAAAGATCAATAAAGAGCAAGTTCTTGTCTGTTTGATTTCGAAAGGGTGAGTCTTGTGTTAAATGAAATTTAATCCTTTCTTTTATATATATATATATAAAATTTAATCCTTTCTTTTAGTTTCCTCTGCTTCAAGGCTTTGCCTTAAGCTTTCCGTTTTTCATCCACAAAATCCCAAATGAAAATTTAACTATAGAAACTCTTAAGTACTAATAGGAAATTTGTAACTGGATCTGGAATATTAATTACTGTTCCAATACCAAAAGAACTCGCAGCTTCTGGAAACTTAATCGAGTCAGCAATCCAGACTGTCCTTATAGACATTGCACTTGGGAAAAATAATGCTCTCGTTGGTGCTAAGATTGCTGCACCTCTTTCCCAGATCAGACAACATTGCAGTTAAGCTAAACTGCTTATGCTTTTTTGATTTATTTATGATATTAAATTTCTTGAACATTCTGGGCATATGCTTTTGTTCAGTGTTGCTTAATACGCAGTCATTTTGGTTATTAGTTGAGAGATATTTGTTGGGATCAAAGAGATTGCTTTGGGGTGAAATTCGAGTGTTCTTTTGATTTGGGGAAAGAATGCGGCGGAGTATAATTGTTGTGAGACTAATTTCTTTATACATATTGTGATAATAGTGTTTTTGGTGCTGTTTGCTGGGCTGATGTCTGGCCTTACTTTGGGACTCATGTCTATGAATCTAGTTGATCTTGAAGTTCTTGCCAAGTCTGGAACTCCTAAGGATCGCAAACATGCTGGTATATATCTATATCTCTTTATGCTATGAATGATGTTTGTTTCTTTATTTGTATGTTTTAGCTCTTTTGCTCTACTGCATTTGTTTGTTTTGGTTGTTGGGTTGCTAAGAAAGTGAGAACAGAAGTGGGTTGTGGAGATCCCGTAAGTTCTACTTAAAAAGATTGAAGCTAATGTAGAGTTATTTGCATCTTCGAAAATTCGGATCTGACTCTGATGTAAGTTAGTTTTGTATGGTTTCTTGGGGTGATGATGTTGAGAGTTAGAAAATTTGTTGTTTAAGTTTCCAGTTTTGGTTAAGTTTGTGAAAACGTTCTGTTTGGATGTTTCAAAAGTTACGGAAGAGTTTTGTACGGGATTTGGTAGCATGATGTCTCTAAGTTCAATGTAAATAGGATTATGTGGTGTAAGGGCTATATATATTTTTTATCAGAGAAGTTTTGAGAAAGAATTAATTTTACCAGGAATTGCGAATTTTTTTATTAAAGTAAAAAATGGATTGTAAAATCTAGAAATGAAAATTGTAGTTTGATAGCCTTTTTGTAGTGAAAAGTTTGGTTTAGATTAAAACCTGGAAAACTAATCCAAAATCCTCAGGAAGTTCTAGAAAGTGAATTATATTCAAAATAACTTCCAAGTATTTTTAATCTTCCTCATTTGGTTTTGTTGATTTTGTGAGTTTCTGTCCTACATCAGTAGACTATTTGTGATCCAGAAATGTTATTGGAGCTTGGAGAATAGTTTTTGGGCATCCTAGATTTTGTTAGCAGGCCCAACTACTAAATCTTCTACAATTCATGGTCTGTAATTGGTAATAACCGCTACTGCGAATGCTATATATCTACAACTTGACCTTTTACAATTATATTGACAACCCAAGGACTACTTGATATGTTTGCATGGAAATTTCTTAATATGTTACATACTTCTTATGCTGATAAGTTGTGCTACAGCAAAGATATTGTCGGTTGTCAAAAAGCAGCATCTGTTGCTATGCACTCTACTCATTTGCAATGCTGCTGCCATGGAGGTAATATTATTCAGATGTTGTGAACTAATTATTTGGTTAGATTTCTTGGAAGGATAAATAAATGTTCTGAATGAATTTTTTTCTTTCTAATTTTCAGGCACTTCCGATTTTTCTTGATGGTCTGATAACAGCTTGGGGTGCAATTTTGATTTCAGTTACACTGATTCTTCTGTTTGGTGAGGTGAGGATCCGACTCTAACTGGATTTTCTCTTAGAGCTGAGATCAGGACAGATGGCAACTTGGCTCGTGATATCATGGCAATGCCAATAACATCCATAGCCTTAGAGTCCGCTTTTAGTATTGGCAGTAAAGTGCTCAACAAATATTGAAGCTCACTTCGACCAAAAAATGCAGAATCTTTGATATGCACTCGAACTTGGCTATATGGATATGAGTTTGAAGGTAACATGTTAACATAATATTTCTTATATTTTATTATTTACATTTATTAATATTTGTAGTTGATCATTGTTTTGTAAATGATGAGGTGAAAGATGATTTGGATGATGATCTTGATATGACATTGACTGATCTCAAGACAGTGGAATCAAGAGACTCTATCACGTCCACTTTGGGATGAACATTTGCTATCCTAAGAATGTTTTTTGTTGAATATTGGATTATGTATTTGTTTATTTTAATTGGTATTTATAGTTTATTAACTTATTTTGTTTGTTTTTGTGTAATTGTGTATTAGTGATTTTGTATTTATTTATTTTGGTTGGTATTTGTAGCTTTTTATTATATGTTATTGTTTGTTTATGGGTTATTTATTTATTTTGGTTCATATTTGTTTATATTCTTAATTGAATTGAATTTAGAGTAGTTGATTCAGGGGATGTAAATGTAAAAAATTAAAACTGCAGGAATCTTGGGGGTATAATTGTCATAATTGAAAACTATTAGGGCTGAAACTGTAAAAAGTAAAATTAGAGAGAGAGAGAAAACGGGTCCACCCGGGGGTTCACCCATACCCGTATAGGGTAGGGCACGGGTCCAAAATATTGGACCCATATAGATCGACCCGTATAAGGGCCCGTACCCGTTTGACCTGTACCTGTTCGACCTGGCTCGTACCCAGCCCACCCACCCGTTTTGTCAGGTCTACCTTTTGGGTACCAACTTGTCGTTTCCAAACCTTGGGTATGCGTAAGTCGTTCGGCCCAAGTTTTATTAATTTATTTATTCAACAAATTAAAAGGCATAAAACATGGATATCAAGGCTCCATTTGGTTCACTTTTTTGCATTTTTTAGAAAAGTTTTTTTTAAAAAGTTGAATCGGGCAGGTATTACGATGTAGGATTTGAAAATTAATAAAAATACCCCCTATGTTTGTTTATTTACTAAACACCCCTATAATAAAACTTTGAAAGTTAAAAAAAACACCGCCAACCCACCCATTGAATAATCACAGCCGGCTGACCGGAGTTGCTGTATCGATGCATGACCGGCTGGATCTTGCTGGTCGTGCGTCGATATAGCCTTTTCTGGCCAGATCCACCTGGCAAAGGCCAGATCTACGACTAGATCTGGCCATTGACCGCCAGATCTAGCCGCATTTGCCGCCAGATCTAGCCGCATTTGCTCGTCAATGATGGCCAAAGATACATCCGTCATTGATGGTCAATGACAACCATATGTTGGCCGTCGTTGACGTCTTGTTACGGCAAAAAATCTGGCCATCAACGGCCAGATCTTTGGCCTTAGATCTGGCCAAAAAAGGCTAGATCGGCACACTACCGGCCAGATTCAGCCAGTAGTGCGCCATTATATCAGATTCCAGCCAATTTCCAATAGTGGTGGCAAGAATCTGGTATAATGTGGGTTAGGGGTGTTTTTGCAATTTCAAAAAAAATATTTAGGGGTATTTAATTAAATTAACAAATTTAGGGGGTTTAAAAAAAATTGAATAACATTGTGAGTTTTTTGGCATATTACTGTTTAACTTTTTTGGGAATACTAATAATAGTATTCCCAAAAACCAACCAAACGGAGCCCAATTATTTGTTCTTCACTCTTGTTAGCAGTCAAATGTAGAGGATCCGGGAACACTGTTGGCGTTTGATTTAAACAATAATTTAAAGAGTTCGGAATTTAAATATCTTTTTTATTGTTTAAATCTTCAATTATTCTGCTAATGAAAAGGAAGATAACCAACGTGGGCAATAGGCAGTGGCGGACCCAAGATTTTTGTCTTGGGGGCCTCCGCGATTTGTCAAACAACTAGTGAAAACTTTAAAAAAATCATTAAACCTTAAACAAAGAAAATAATATAATATTAATAATATGAAAGAAAATAATGCAATAACACAATACTTTACTATTTTAGTAAATCTATGAGAAGCAAAACATTGAGCAAATTATATTGAAAATAATATTCAATTCACGAGGAAACAGAAGAAATTTTTTACGTAAAAAACCCTCTTCAATTAAAGAGAGCAAAAGACCACGGGAATCTAACGATCCACTTAAATCCAATATAATTAAAAGAGTTTTCAACAATCATAATCCACCAAAAATGTTCTACACAAATTTCTTATTCCTCCTTTTTTTTTTTTTTGTTTTATTTTTTGCTTTCAAATATTATAATATAAATTTTCATGACTTTGATCAAGTCTAGCCTAAGCTAAAGTCAATCAAAACTTAAATTAAGTCAACGTTGCCTTGACTTTTAATTGAATTAATAAAAAAAGGGGAAATTTTCTTAGTATAAACATAGATAATAACTCAAACTTCTTAAATAATTTTGAGTAGCCAAACGGTGACGTTTGAAATGTAAGAAAGTGATGGGTGAAGGATGAATAATAACATTAAGTAAAATATAGTTAAGGTTTAATTTAGGAAAGCATGAACATTCTTAAACACAAAACATAAAACAAACTCACAAGATCTATGCATTTTTCAATCAAATTAGAATAAAAAATCTTCAAAAAATAAGCATGATTCAATCTTAAAATGAATTAAAATGAAATGAGCAATACACATACCTAAAACTGATAAAACAGAAAACAAAGCTAATTGTGACACTTTGATTAGTGAAAGCTTTAACAATTTCAGTATATAAAAGTTTTAAGAACGAATAACATAGAGAAAGTGAAAGAGAGAATGAGAGAGTAAAAATTTTTGGGATAAAATTATAAAAAATAGGTGGACGTAGAAAAAAGTGGAGAGAATTTTAAACTTTTAATATGATGTAGGCTTGAAATATATATATTAGTAACAAATTTTGCATGAGTTTAGATATATATGCAATAGTTGTTTTTTTTTTTTTTTTTTTTTTTTTTTTTAAATATAAAGGCAGGCTTGAACATATATATTAATAGAATTTTTGCATAGGCCCATATAAACAATTTTTTTTTTTTTTTTGGCTAAATGTGAGGGTAGGGCCTACCCTCCAAGGGGCTGGGTCCGCCCCTGGCGGTAGGCCTATAGTTTGTTTTAATACTATTAGAATATGTTCACTAGCTTAACAAATAATAAACCCTCCAGGGAACCGAATTCATGGCCTTCTGCTATTACTAAACACTAATTAATCTTCCCAGGCCTTGTAATTTTGATTGTAATCACATATAAGGTCCCAACCATATTGGATACAGAGACAATCAATTAATGTTTTTCATATACATGATATTAACGTTTGATATTCACAAAATTCCGATAATTTCTTCTATATCATATGAGATTACATTAAGTGATAAGATTCTTGTTTTTTACAAGAATCTTATCACATGATAAAGTTCAAAGATTCGAGTTTACCCAATTTAAATGATTTATATTATAATTATATGTTCAAGAAATATATAAGTGAATTGAAGTCATACTCAGATACTGTTGACGCTTGATTTTAGACGCCAACGACTCGCACGTGAGAAACGCTAAACGGACTTAGGAATCACACGTGATGGATCCATGAGATTTGAATATGGAGCTGAGATTATATATGTTGCAGAAAACATAAATAAAAGATTGACAAGAGGGGTTTTTATAGTGGTTCGGATGCTCAACATGCGACTCCTACATCCACTGTTATTTTATTGATCTCTGATTATTTCTATGATGTTGTCCAGAAGACATACAAAGATGAAGAAATACAATTTTTACAGAGAGAGAATGAAATAAAGCTCAAATCTCAACCTAGCCTCCTTCTTTAGGAAGAGGAGTGCCCATTTATACACATTTGCACTCAATGTAATGAGTGTTTTGCAAGTTGCCTTGACACATGGAAGACTTTCGTCCACTTATTTCTTGAAATGAGATAGAGTTGGTGTGAGTATCTTTGAAGAGATATAGGCTTGGCAGCACATTTATTAGACTGACATAAATGTGACTTTTGAGGCATAACAGATGCAGTTTCCTCATGGTCCATATGTATTAATAGTTTGCGTTTAATTATGGTTAACACCCTATTTTTGGACAAATAAGTACAAATAGTTAAGATTAATTTGCGTGAAGATTATCTCAACCAGATTGTAACGTCAACTCCATGTGAAGTTAAAGTCCTAGATTGAGTCACAAGTGTGGTTGATTAGTTATTAAGTTTGTCCAAGTCAAGGTCGTTGTTCCATGTCAAGGGGCTTTTGGCCTTTACAAAACAAATCAATGAAAGGAGCACATATCCTTCAATATCCGAATCAGAAATCTGATGTATCATAAAAGTTGGAGAAAAAACTTTATACAAAATAAAATAAGATAGAGCGAGATTATGTGTACTAATTAATCAATGGCTTCATTGCACAAGATTGGAGACTTCAATTTTTAGTAATAGGTTACCAGTAATGATGTTATTTTGGGTTAGATTAACTACAATAGAAAGAATTACTGCTGTAAATCGGCATACAATCCTTAGATTGATGAAAATATGGGCGAATAGAATCCCCTCTGAGCGATGGCAAAATCGAGGTAAAGATGGGTGATTAAACAATCCCGAGAAAACCATTGCGGAAATGAGTATGTATCACCCAAAAGTAATGCTGTCTTTGGACATTTGGTAACAAAAAATGATTGTTTTTTTTTTTTTTGGTAGTTAATATAATTTCAATTGAAATTAAATCAAACTTGCTACAATCCTCTAAAGATATTATGAAATTAATACTAAAGCCATGTATTCAAATATAATTTTTTAGGTGAACGTGAGACTTGAGTATATTATAATTCGTGACACAAAAGGAGTAAGTTTTTTAGTTAAATCCATAGAGTATTCATAGACGTAGTCATTGAATCGGAATTAATTAAACACCATAACAACCTTTTTTTTTTTTTTTTTATTTCATGGATAAAAGAAACAGAGGAATCAATATTTTCGGTCATGATAAAACCAGAAAAAGAAAACAAAAAGTACATTCAGAGGATTGTTCTACATATAGCCAACCGCTAAGTGCATGTTTGAACGAGAAAGTACAAATTAAGACCACACAATTCCTCCCTTCTAATAGAACCACTTACATACTAATTACCATCGGTTAAATTAAAAAAACATTATTAAGCTCTAACTGATGACGTAACCACATTTTACAGCATACTTGACAAGCTCGTCGAATTCCTTCTCATTAATGTATCCATATCCATTTTCATCTGCATGACAAAGCGCTTGCCACGTCCGCCAAGCTGCGAAACT